TTAAAATTACAGAACAGATATAGTATTTTTAAATAATAAATTAATGTTACATAAAATTAATAATAAAATAAATAAATCAATAATAGATAATACTTATATAATAATACCTCTGGAAGATACTTATTAATGAATAAATAAAGAAATAAATGATTATAAATAAAATATATAAATTAGTAATATACTAGCTAAATTAGTAGAACAAGAAAAAAGAGAAATTCTACTAAGAAAACTATCTATTGCTAAAATAACTCAAATATACTATGTGACTTTTCTTGATATAATTAGGTAATTGTGATACAGTAAGTCATGTGTAGTGTAGTATGTGACACAGTAATGATTTGCAAAATAAAATATAAAATTTAATATAATCTTATTATAGCAAGATTTATCATCTAGCAATATGTAATCAATTAATTTTGGCTATGCATAAATAAATGAGAATTGACTATGAAGAGATTATTTATAATACTATCATCACTTGTTCTATACCTGATATTATCAACTATATTAATCAAAATTATATCAGAAATACAAAAAAATAGACACTCTAAACATGATAGCATTTGTCTTTCCTATTATAATTCACCTCAACTAATTAATTAGAGTCCTTTCATAACAAGCTTAAAGAATAATAGCTAAAAAATTTGATCTTATAGATATCATACTTGCTTAATAATATTTTTTATTGTAATTTTTTACTTACCAAACACTTGTATTAATATTAGGAATATGTCACAAGATCACTAATCTTGATAGTAAAAGATAACTTAACTCTGAAAAGGCTATCTTCAATTTCTATCAGAAATGAATTTTCATAGTTGATCTTAATAATAAGATTCTGAAGGAAATTTGTAAATTTTCCTACCCCAATCAAAAGCTAATTACAGGTAAGGCTGTTGCTATGAGTACAAGAATCATGAAAAAAAAGTCACTATCAAATCTAATATCACTAGCGTATTCTTGTATATTCTTTTATCATTATCTACTTTCTTGTTAATATATTCTCCATATGCATCTTTTTGATCTTAATAAGTTACTAATGATTGATGTTTGGAAGAAATTTTAACAAATATTTATGGAGACTGGATTTGAAATATATGAGTACTATGAAATGATCAAAATATTTGAGCCTATTCAGACTCAAGTGGAAAGAGAGGCAGAGATGTGAAGGTTACAGGTAGATGAGCTTTTAGAAAGGATGTGGGATAAGTATTGGAAAATTGAGGATGAAGGTGATAATAATGCTACTAAAGTATTTGTTACATGTTTGGATAAGTTGTTGGATCCAATTTTTAAAATTGCAATATAATAGTTTATTATTTTACAAGTTAATTAATTTTATAATTATGTTTATTACTATTATTTTTTACAAAAAAATAAATGTGCTTTATTCTGATCATTATGAGCTTTATGAGCTTTATTCTCAATTATTAATTGATCAATATTATGGTCATCTGTTGATCAAAATTATTCAGCCAATCATTACTTATCACGTGTATTTTTTACACATTACTTATCATGTGTATTTTTTACATGATTTGGATCCGGATTGAATCCAAAATCACATGATACTACCCGGCTTTAGTGGACCCCCAAATTGGGTGTACACGTCATAATACAAAACAAATAAACAAATTTAATCGTCAGAACCAGGGCATTTATTTTTTTAAAAAAATATGCTAATTGATATGTCCGATCTTGAGAAAATCAAAAAAAGCTTGACCGGATACTTTTGATAGGGTAGTGAATCTTCATTATCCTCATTTCATGTGTTTACTAATATCGAAATTCGTTTTTATCACCAAACAAAAATAATGAAATTAATGAATTAAAAAAAATTAATATCAATTATAATTTATCTTCATTTGGGAGAAACTAACGCAATTTACAAGCACCCAGCACGACTAGCCATCCCGGATCTGTCAAGAACTAAAGATGGACTCTTCAACTGTTGTTCCGTGATGAACGTACAACCATTGAAACATTGATGGCAGAGCAGTTCAACGGACATATTTAAAACAATGTGAAATGTCATTTTAATTGAATATAAAAATAAATGTACGAACCTTGTAATTGACTTTGAGGTAAACATTCTACTCATGTAAATTGCTAAATTGCATTTGCAAGCCCATTATCTTATCAAGTTTCTGTTTTTCTATTCAACACATCTTTAAATTTCTTCTTCTGTTTTAGAATATTCTAGAGTGCTTTAGTACCGAAAATGTAAAGCTTTCGGTGTATCTATGTTTCCTCGTAGATAGGTCTGCTAAAGTGACGAAGTTCCTCTGTTTTCATTAATAGGATCCCAACATTTTTCAATAATAAATTTGCATCATCCGGGAATTGTATTTAGTATCGTAGGTCGTACTGTGCTCCTTTATCCAATTTCCATGGCTTCGATCACCTGTTAAAATTTCGTAACCATTCCAAATCTGAAACATTAGTGTATGGCTTTCTTTCCATGTAGCATGCCACAAATTTCTTGGTTAGATTTTCAATATTAGTTGGAACGATTAGTTCAAAATCAGCAATTTGAGGATTATTGCTTCCAAGATGAAGGTCACGAATGTTTGTTCATTTATTGATAATCCAATACATGTATAAATAATTAAGCCAAATCAAATTTTTCATAGTTAGAATTAATATTGTCTCAATTCAGAAGTTAAAGAATTAAACTGAATGATTTCAAAGTGGGCTTCATTGAGATTCTAAAGGTCTCCTGTGCCAATCTACATGGAGATTGTGTAATCAAGGGCAAAGGAATTCAAAAGGCAAGGTAAAGTATAATATTTGACTTTAATCAACAAAAGTAAATAACTAACAAAATATTAGTTTAATTCAATAACAAAAATAATAATAAATTTACAAATGATTCAATTATTTATTCAAACCACAAAAATAAATTTCAAAATAAAATCATAACCGAATAATCTAATACATGTACATGTAATCAAACACAATCATCAACTTTGTATGATAAAGAAGTAAAGCTTTCGATTTAATTAAGCATAGAAGAAATAAAACTATCGATTTGTTAAGACACAAAAGAAATAAAAGCCGAAACGTTGTAAGAATTAAAATAATTTTTATTTCATTGACTTGTTTCTCTGATTCTCTTTACATACAATTTAGTTTTTATATTTACAGATCGTAAGAATTCGCGGGTTTCCACGTACTAATATGAATCGTACGGTGAACTCTCCCTAAATGGAGGTCTTGATTCCCAGGCGGCGGTGAGCGGGATCTATCTCATTCGAAATCATTAAACAATTTTTCTAGAACAGCTTCCTTCTTGTCTATCATGTTCAACGTCTTTATGATGACATATTTTGCACATAATATCTCCTTCAGAGCAAAGACGAGTGTTTGGGATTTTGTTCAGATGACCAGCACCTTCATAACCATTTTCACGACGAACACGATAAACATATCCTTTTGGAAGATCCATTCTGATGACCGGAATTTTATTAGCTCCCTGAAGTATCCCAACATTTCTCGCATACTCTTCTATCATGTCACATTCAATAAAAGCTGCCACATCATGTCTCTTAATATTTTACATAACTTTAACGATCTGTTAGTATTTATCTCCACATTTCCCTGCCCATTTTCGTTCCGCTTCTATACCATCAAACTCTAGGCGTCTTTTACATAATCTGAATATACCGTTTACTGATCTTTCATTACGTAAAGCTCGTCTCCTTCCCCACGTTTTAGTTCAACTTCCAGATATGAAAAAGTGGATCGATTAAATGTCCCACACGTTCATTTCATACTAACTTTCCAATTGTGATTCAATAAATGGATTCTCTTCTTTCTCCCATAAGAACAACATCGATCAATAATGAAATCAAGGTCAGAGTGAACGCTCCGATCAAATTTTGATACAAAAGATTCAGCAAGAAACCTTTCGCAGATCCTCGGTATCGCCAGGCGTATACCTTTTCAATAATTCAAGCTGAGACTGTCCAAGTCTTGGTTTGAATTTAATTTCCGAGCTAGTGATCTCTTCCCTTTCTTCTTTAGAGAACAAAGTTTTTTGGTAGTTACATCGTCATCAGTAATTATTAAAGAGTGCGGATACGACTCTTCATGTACAGTCGCCACAAAAAGTAACGCCCGATTTGTATTTGTAACAACATAGGTAAATATATGCGTCGCGCTTTCCCATTTTTTGTTATTGTTGACCCTAATTTTTTTTTATTATTTTCTTCTTTTATTTTTAAACATACACTAGATGAAAATTTTTTAGGTGTAAATATGATACCTGTCGTACCAGTAGGCCATCTTTGACAAGGATAAAATAGTGATTTCAAGCAAATTGCAAGAAAAATGTGGCGTAACCTGGTTAGAGTATAATGGTCTCTTGTCAAGTACAAAAGAAACAGGAAAAATAAAAATTTACCACTGTCTGAGAGACCATAAGCTCATAACTATCAAGAAAAAAAATGCATATACGCAAGAAACTAAAAAAGACATCCCGAGCCATTTCATGACATTGGTAATAAAAAATCTGTGC